TATTTTTTAACATACCTAACTTATTGTACCACTATACAGTGGTAGTCACATTACTTATGAAAGTAATTTCTATATTGTTTTTCTCGTTGTCAAATAAAAGGTTATCAAATATTATACAAGTAGGTATACTTAATTTATGTTTTATGAATAGACTTTAGTTGTTTTGAAGAGGTGACACTCGCTGTCTATCTGCACCTTTATTCATCCGGTCCAAGTTTTTATAAATTTAAGCCTTTTATGCAGTTCACTTTTATAGATATAATTCCAAAAAATATTCTTTTATCTATTTTTCCAAATACTTTCTGTTCTCTTTGACATTTAGAAGTGACTAGCTCAGTTTTCTTTGTCATACATTTCTATCCAATTTTCTGGATACCTGGCCATGTTGGTATTCTAGGGAATGAACTTGCTGACATCACATCTAAGTCTGTCACAACCATACCTGTCCTGTATATGGACTATGGTCAAGTCCCAGTTTCATGCCAGTTGGCTTTCATAACAAGCTTTTCCAGATATAGTTTTTGTAAAGATAGACGGGAAGAAGTTGTCTTGGCTAGGCTACATATTGGTAAGTTTTTTTACTTATCATTTTCTTTTATATGTAACTGATCTGCCAATGTCACATTTTAGACACATATTTTCTAAGTGTTTACTCCTGATGTTGGACGGTGTCATTGCAAATGGTGACACTGTCCAGCTTGATAGTGTTTTTAGATTGTTGCGGGCCATAGGCTTTTTTAATTCTATTTAAGTTGGGTTTTTTTTACCTGATTTTCAGGCTTTAAGTTTTTAACTTGATTTACTTTTTCATTTTATATTTTTCACTTCTGGCACAGATAGCCCATTAGCTATCAACCTAATAGATAATCAACCAACCAACCTATTTGTCCAATGAAATCTATAAAATGTAGTTCTATAATCTTTGTATGTATTAGTATCACTTTCTGAAAATACAATAGGGATGTATTAATAGTTTTATATCATATTTTTGTGCAACTTTTTGACCAATGTAATCTAATTCATCTTTGTTACTTTCTTTATGGGAAAAATGCATATCAAATTCAGCTACACTGTGATAAAATTTGAAAAATGTAAAGAAATGAGTAAAATTGCTAGTAGTTTAAATCAGATGTGTTATGTTTAATTTTTCATCATCCTTAAATATATATGTTAATAACTTTGGGAAGGAATATAATTTTATTAATAGAAGTTGGGTCTATAAGACCCATACTTTATCTGTGTTCATGTTATACCACAAAGTAGAAAAAAATCTATAAAAATAACCAGAGGATTGCTTTTTATGTTGTCCATAATTAACATTCATAAAAATGTCACTTTTTCAAATGGTATGCAAGACTTCTATGTTCCTCCCAAATTATATCTTGTTAACATTACTTCAGTGTAAACTGCTCAGTGAGCAATGTGCCAAAACATTAACTACACAGTTAACTCAATTTTATTGGATAATGTAATTCTTAAGGTGTAGCTATGCAAGTTGTGATTTCATTGGCTGATATGCAGGATGTCGTCAGTATAGATTTGTTTATTAGTAACCTTTTGCATGTGCATTGCAAAATAAGAGGTTTTAAGCTATAATGTAACATAAATAGTAGTTTGTATGACAAAAATAGCCAGGATATACAATATGTATTAATGTGCTCATTAAATTTCAGTGATTGCTATTTTGGTTTTATGTTCTAAATAGATGCTTATAGAAATAATGTATACAGGAAAAAAAACTTTCTATAAATAATTATGCTGAAATATGGTGGTGTATTGATGACAATTACTATCAGTAAGTGGAACTTATTGGATATCTATATGAATTTCTCACTGGATATTGTGATGACTGTAACTATATTTTTAACACAGGGCAATGTGAATAAGGCTGAGCAGAAACAAAATCATGAACTTTGCCGTACAAATACTGGTACTTTTAATCTTACTGACAAGGAAATATAATAAGTACATTTTCAACAAACACAGTGCAGGATCAAAATACTTGGTCTGAGAGGGAAGGAGAAGATTTTTTACTCCAACAGGAGTGTATAGTTTTATTTACCTAGAACTTTACACCTCGTATTAACTCTAATACACTGTTAGCACTATCAATGATTCCGATTATACCGTGAATATCATAATAACCTTGGCTAAAGGTGTGAACTGGAGTAGTTGTACAAAGTACTTCTTTTCAGAAATCTGTAGAAACATACAACTTAAGTGCATAAAAAAAATATGATGATGTAAGTTAACTCCATAACTACCACAAAGTTTTTATATTTCCAAAATGAATTATTAAGGTACTACAACTCTCAATATCAAGTAGTTGGTACTTTAGAAATCCATCCAAAATGGATGTATCAAAATTTGGACATTTCATCTCAAACAAGTATGATTCAAGACCAAACCACTACTTAAGATGGAGAATATTGTTTTTCAACTAGCCATGACTTGCAAAACCTTTGTGGTAGTTTTCAAGCCCATTGCTTGAATTTTCATGCATGCCATTTAAGCTAGCTTTCTTGCAGGCATTATGTATTAGATCAATAAATCCTGGCCTATTTGAAAAAAATTTACATGGTTAGACAAAACTCAGTCACATAGACATAACTTTATTTAATAAAACTATATGTAAAGTAATGGTATCTATAATAATGTACAGAGTATGAAACAGTTATGAACATTCAGTGTATCACACGGTTTTACGAGTTGAAACAAAGAAATGCTTTGGAAATTAAAAAAAAACTAAAATTGAAATCAAAGCCAGTAATCATGTTATGGCATTGTGTACCACACTTGTTGAATTGAAAAGTTTGGCTAAGCAAAAAAAAAAAAAACAGTAAAGGTGATTTTGAATTGAAAAGCCAATATACAATCCAGACTCTTTGAACAAAGGCTTTTCTAATGATATGTGATTTGTTGCATTTCATCAAGAAATTTGTAAGAAGAGTTTCAGGCAGACAAATGCAAGTGTATTATTTATATATGTAGTTTTTTCTTACATATATTTATCCAATTTGTTTTGGTACTGTTTTACCAATTATTACATTCTACAAATGGTGAACCAAAATCTGCATAAATCAATAAATTTAAGTTTCTAATTGTACAATTTAGATAAATATACCCAGATATTTGTAATTAAATACAGAGTGCCAGGGATGAAATTTCTAATAGTGTTAAAACTAAAGTTGTGTGTAGTTGTGGGATTTTGAAATGATTTGTTACAGCAGCCTCGTTATTTGCATTTTTAATTGTAGTTCTTATGATTTGATCAAATACACACCATGTTCCTGTCTCAATCCTGGAAAGATGCACTGGCAAATCATAAGTTTTCATATCACAAAGGAATTCTACAATTTTAAATGTACCATGAACTTGCACATTTATCTGTTGTCAAATCTATATGCAAAATTTGTGTGGTTTTCATCACTGTTAATTCTAGGCTTGGACTGATAGAATCATTATTACAAACAAATTTATTAAGTATTATAATACTTTAATATGAATGAAAATATGTGTATCTGAAATCTAAAATGATGAATAAACACCTTTTTCTTTGTCAGTTTATTTGTCAGTCACTTTCTAAGTGAAAACTAATTTACCAAACACATGAGTCTGACTTATTCACAGTTAGCAGTTTTATAATCTAATTGCACATTTAAAACCATGAAGATATCTTTGGAAGCTTTTATAACTACCTGAAAACGAAAAACAATCTTACAGTTCGATGAAAGCTTAATGATTCAGAATCCAAATTTCTTTCAGTAAAACTGTTTATTAAAAGTGCTTCACAATCCTTATAAAAAGCATCTTAAGAGTTGACTATCGGAGGGGGTGATTGGAGTAGTCACAAGAAAGGAGGCAATTGATAATGATTGTTTTTTGTTCATCCATTATATCCTCATTTTTTTTATCAACTGCTGCTGCTGCCATCTATAATCATCCTCACCATAGTTTTTTGGAACACTGTTTATAAATGGGATTTGATCATGGAACTTCATACCAATGAATTTTCTTTTAACCATACAATAGCATGCCTTTAAATATGATGGTGTATAAGTGTTATGGAATACTTAAGTTATATGTTGCACCCTCAATCCAGATAATGTCAAAGAACAAGATAAACAAATTCACAAACTTCTTATCACTTTTATAAGACAGTATCAATCCAATGAGAGAACTGATTCAAAACAAATCTTTTGAAAAATTAGTCTTCAAGTAATAAAAAACACAAGGTAGATTGGTCCACATTGGTTTTTAAAAATGTGTGAAAAAAAGCATATAAACAGATGAAACAAAGGTATAAAAAAAATATAGAGAGGCCATGTGGTGGTGGTCAAATGTTTAAATAGCAGTTATTTTGATATGTCACTTGACATCATTTCCACAAATATTTATTTAGACTGCTAAAAAGCATATAAACATTTTTTAGAAGAATTATCATTTGACCATTGACTCTTGGCCTAGAAATAATTAATAGCATGTGGCACATGCAATAACCTGCAAATAATGAAAACTTCACAAATGAAATAGGGCAAGAACAAAAGTTAACTACCTTGGATTTTAAAGGCATGAAAACAAAACCTAACACCCAGAAGCTGAGGTAAAGTGAATTGCAATTGTTTAAGGTAAATTAGGTGATCATAACCTACATGATAGCCTAAGGAAGCTTAGATTCTGTAACCTTAACTATTGAACCAGGAATTGTTACAAGATTATCAGAAACTCCCAATTTCACCATTAAGATTAAACCTTGGAAAGAATGTTTTATGTGGTTCAGAGTAAAAACTGTTTGTGACCTAGGTCTTCTTATTCTGCAAGTATACTTTAGAAACATACGTTTTCACTGATAAAATGAATGAAATGAAAATTTCTTACACCATAGCAATAATATAAATTTAAATTAATGCCCTACCCTATGGTAGTGAGAATTGATCTAGATATTTTAAGTATGGGGTACGTTTCAGTATGGCAAAAAAATCTTGATCTCAAAACCAAAGTAAAAACTTCTGAATTAACTTTAATGTTGTGCCAATTTTAAAACTCCAAATATCAAACAAATCAAACCAAAATTTTGGTCTTTTTTTTTTTTCTAAAAACATTGTATTATATCAAATTTCAAGTTCAAACTTCTAAAATTTAACAGTTTGCAATATTATCTTTATAAACTGCACCTCAATCAAATTTCATCCATTTTATTACAGCCATGCACTATTCTTATCCACAGGTGACAAATTAATTATACATTTTTTAACAGCACGCTTCCCTTGGGAATTTAGGTTCGTGATCAAATGTCTCTGGCAAAACACTTATCCACCTCTTGAGCAGGCATGGCAGCTACTGCACCAAATCTGTAAACCTCCTTGTACATAATTCCCGACAGAATTTCTTCATCACAAAAAAAAATAAATTGCATGTCTACTATTACAAGTAGCTAATTAAAAGTCGTTTCGGTACCCAACCTAAACTTAAGTTTAG